TAAGGTTGTCAAAGTCTTGTTGTCTTATACAGTGCAGTTTATGCAAATTTCACAATGTCAGTTTTCAGAGACATTAATTTCCCCATGCTTTCTAATTTTGAACTCTTGTGTTTGGGTGCACACAGCAGGCCGTCATATAGGAAATTGTTTGAACTGAGGAAAAGATTCCTCTCAGTGACAGAGAGGGGTCAAAGATCTTCCGGCTCTTTCTGTGAGTGACCTCAGTAAAGGCTACTGTCGTGCAGCGGTGTGTGACCTCAACATGATGTCACACTCACATTCACAGCTGCACTGTTAGGAAGGGGAAACTGGGGCATCTACACTGCTGCGGGGAGGGGGCGGGGGGACTTATTAGTTTCCTTCAAGGAGCAATTGAGCTTGTATCACATTAATGTTTAGAATGTGCATCAATCTTCGAAAACAAGCAATCAAATGAATAAAATGAGCTCTGCTTTGATTTGTTTCAGGTTGGGAAGCTGATTGAGCTGTTGGCTGGTAAAGCAGGGGTGCTGGATGGACGTTTTCACTATTGCACTGCTTTTGGGGGCAGTAAAGTGAAGGACGTGTGTGAGGATCTTATCCGCTATGGATACAATTACCAGGGCAAGGATTATGTCACCTCAGGCATCACAGGGTAAAAACTGTTCTTTAGCATCACTTTTGTTCATTTGCATGTTTATATTTCACCAATACAAGTTTGTTTCACAGTTCAGTTATTAATGCTTCAAGTTACACTTTACAATAAGGTTTCATGTTAACACATTAGTTAACTACTTTAGTTAACACTAACTAACAATGAACAATACTTCTAACGCGTTTATTAATCTTAATGTTAATTTCAAAATGTACTAATACATTATTGAAACCAAAAGTTGTATCTGTTAATATTTTTTAATGGACCTAATCTAACATTAACTAACATTGAACAGTTGTGTTTATATTAACTAACATTAACAAAGATGAATAACTAGAAACAACAAATTACTCATTGTTAGTTCATTTTAGTTAATCCATTAACACGTTTACTAATGGAACCCTATAAAATGTCATCTTATAAAGATTTGAATACTTTTAAAATTAATAGCTACATTGTATTTGAATTTCTATATATTGCGAAAATCAAAAGAGCCACCAGAGTGTTTTCTCTGTTGCACATTACCGTAATTAATTAATTAGTTTTTTGGTAATTTGCTCTTAGGGAACCTCTCGAAGCCTACATCTACTTCGGTCCAGTCTATTATCAGAAATTAAAGCACATGTTGCTGGATAAAATGCATGCCAGAGCACGTGGTCCGAGAGCAGTACTCACTAGGTAAGAAAGGCGAACATATGTGTTCTCTGAAATTTGATTTGTTATATTTATTCTTTAGGATAATAAATTGTTTATTAGATGTGTTCCAGAGATGGTGGTCTCCAATAGAGATGGAACGAGACCGTCTCATTGGCTACGGAGCCAGCATGCTGCTGCTTGAGCGACTGATGATCTCCAGTGATGCTTTTGAGGTGGATGTGTGTGTGGCCAGTGTGGCTTGCTGGGATATTCAGAATGGTCAGTAAAATCCATTACGATAGTGCAGTTTTATTAAATTATTAAATGGATCAAAGGGGATTTATTGGTGAGAACTTTGTCTGTTTATTGCAGGTGTCATTACTGCAAGTCTTCATGCCATGTGTCATCTCTACGAATTCCATATGCCTGCAAACTGCTCTTCCAAGAACTGCAATCCATGAACATCATCCCCCGCCTCAAACTGGCTCGATACAATGAGTGAAGGCGAGTGATTATGGCATTTCACCAAAGCTTACGCACAGAGGAGCGATACAGTATTATTAAGGACTACATACAACATTGAAACGTCGTCATTTCATTTTTGTTAAACATCTTGTATCTTATCAATAAGATATTTATTTATATATATACTGTATATATAAAGAAGTGAATGTAGGTTTTTTTTTTCTTCCAATTTCAACTTGATGGTGATGAACTGATAATTGGCATAACAGTATTATTAAGGACTACATACAACATTGAAACGTCGTCATTTCATTTTTGTTAAACATCTTGTATCTTATCAATAAGATATTTATTTATATATATACTGTATATATAAAGAAGTGAATGTAGGTTTTTTTTTCTTCCAATTTCAACTTGATGGTGATGAACTGATAATTGGCATCTCCTTTAGTTTACAGTATGTATGTTTGCTGTCCAAAATATGTAGATTTGTTTCAGTTTGCCTTAAGAATAGTAAGGTTTGCTTTACAATAAACTAATAAATTGTAAATGCAGATTATGAATAATGTGTACATTTTGTTTTTATGTTGCATCCCATGACATTTCTTTTTTTCTTAAGAGCGATGATCAGAAAGTATTAGCGTGGAAGTCTTGAGCAATCTTGATAAAGTGTTAACTGACGACGCTGACAGTAAAAAGGAGCTTGTTGTTACATTGACCACCTTCCCACTTTGCTGGTTTTTTTTGTAAACTAAATCATCCACTATTCAGAGATTGCTCCCACCCACCAAGCAGCAGTGGAAGGCTTTGATTGGAAGAATGCATCTCACATCGGTAGAATGGGCACTGACAGTGTGGCTCGCTCGCTGGTTGGGGGGGTATAAGGGTCCAAGGGTGTCTCTTTTGGCCGGCTGCACCTGTCCTAGCAAATGAGGGGCTAATGAGACTTAGAGTAGACGAACAGAAAAAGGAAGTCTTCTGAGGAGAGAATGCAAAGATTCTCTTCCTCCTCCCTCCTTTCCTTCACAGCCTTCATCTTTAAAACTGTAATTAAGGAAATTTTCATTGATGTTTGGCTCTCCCTCACCATCCACTTCCCAGCTTGTTAGAGGTGCTGGTTAAGCCATACAGTTTCTAATGAAAGCTGGGATATTTGCCTTTGGATGAAGCTTTCAATTTGTTATTTTGTTATGTTTCTTTGATGGTTTGTAGTATTAGTTCCGTTTTATTTATTTATTGTTTCCTTGTTTTTAATATGAAAGGGACACTACTGTTCAAACATCTGGGTTTACGTTTTTTTTATATTTCTAAAATAAGTCTATATAATATTACAAGTCAAAATAACTGTTTTCTATTTTAATATATTTTAAAATGTAATTTATTCCTGTGAAGGCAAAGCTGAACTGTCAGCAGCCATTACTCCAGTCTTCAGTGTCAGATTAGCGTTCAGAAATCATTCTAATATGCTGATTTGCTGCTCATGAAACATTTCTCATCAATGTTGAAAATACTTGTGCTGCTTAATATTTTGTGGGAACTGATTTTTTTTTTCTGGATACAAAAAAAGATGTTCAAAAGAACAGCATTTATTTAAAATACAAATGTCTTGTCCCTTAATGTCTTTAACTAATGCATCCTTGCTGAATAAAAGTGCTTATTTCTTTCAAAAAATCTTCCTGACCCCAAACCTTTGAAAGATAGTGTACGTCTAGACTGCAAACTGGAATACTGAGCCATGGCATAGCTGCTGTGGACCAAAAAACATCTGTTGCTAACATAAATGCTAAAAGTGTATTATAGTTAGCAAGTAATGACAATAAGCAAAGATGCATTGCTGTATCAACTGATGGCTCAGTGCTGGTTTGCTTACGGCCCCCCAATATTTCATTGCATTAGTCGATAAAATATCAAAACAATGGCATCTGCAAACTAAATTTAACTACTTTGAAATCAGTTAGAAGAGTAACATTCTTCAATAGCAATTTAGGTAGTCAATTGTCAAGTTTGCACAGGTGTCTTAGCAGAGTAATTAATCACATTAACTATCCTCTATGGACATTCTCCATTAATATTTGACAACCAGAAAACATTTTTAACAAATGTTTTGCTCAAGTTGGTTTGATATTTTGTATCGAATGCAATGATCTAATCTTAAATTAAGTGTTCCAACACATTTTGGGGGCCACCGTACTCTAGTTCCATCTAAACCTCAAATAACAAATATCTCTAGCTGAAGTCCGACTGCCACGCAGTGAGGAGCCCGTCCTGGCATCCTTATGCCTGCGCAGTCAATAGATGTAGGAGCGAGCGTTCCTCTGCCATCCAGCAAGTGGGGAGCAGTTCCACCATAATCCCCCTTTCTCCTACTCACGCTCTCTTTCCCCCGTGGTTCCATTCATATTCTAATCATAGGAGCGAGCGTTCCTCTGCCATCCAGCAAGTGGGGAGCAGTTCCACCATAATCCCCCTTTCTCCTACTCACGCTCTCTTTCCCCCGTGGTTCCATTCATATTCTAATCACAGCTTTCCCTTCTGCAGTTTGTAGGCACTCCATCAGAGCCCTCCCTGCCTCAGACTCTACACTTTTACTTCCCCCTTTTGTGGCCGCGCTCTCCTCCCGGCACACTAAAATAAGGTTGCTTCAAGGAGAGAGCGAGAAGGGGAGGGGGGTCCACCAAACTTTCTCTTTCCAGTTTTGCCAACGACCTTAATGGGCATTTGGTGTCAAAAGCATCCAAAATGACGATGAACACATTTGTGAAAGAGTTCGATGCTTTTTTGCATTGATTTTGAATGAACGCAACTTTGACATTCCCATTTCGAGATCTATTAACGGCATCAAAGACATCAAAAAAGTTCTGCAATGGGCCAAAAAGTGGCCCTTGGATGGAGAACTTTAAAACTAAAGCAGTGGGGGCAGAGTGTGTATGTGTGTGTGAGGAGAGGGTACGAAAACTTATTAAATGCTATAATGGGAGACGGGGAGGCCATAGTGCTGGGATTGCGTAGATCTAAGCCTATTTTTTTCTGGAAAGGGAGCTTTTCTTATTCAAAACAGCCCCACAAAAGACTTCCAGTGAGCCTTGCCACATCCCCATCTGACTCGAAGCCATTCATCAGCCTGCCGAGCCTATCAATGACATGTCCCCCATCAGGGCTCCTATAAAATCAGCCCCTTTCCCATGAAACATCAGCAAACATTTTGACGGCTCTGGCTTTTCCCCCGCTGGATCTCTGGAGTCTGTGACCCCCTCTCCACCCCACCCGCTCCTACAACCCACACACCCACCTCCATCACCACCGCCACCCTCTCCACGGACCTCACATCTTATGCATCTCAGCGCCGGGCTGTTCTCTCGGAGAGACGGAGGGGGAGTCCTGCACGGAGCCATTTTCTCAGAGGAGCCCCTGGAACGTGCATGGGAAGAGGATGCATTGTGGGCTGCTGGAAGAGCCTGACATGGATTCCACAGGTTGGTTCCTGCTGTGGCATTGCGACGCTTGGGATCTGGGCTCTTTTGGAACGTGAAACGGGCCTTGGGATTGATGTGACCCGAGATTGGCATCAGAAAATGTTATTTAACCTTCCGTAAGGGAAGCCCTTGAATCTAGTTCACCAAGAGATAAGTTGGCATGTTTTTTTGGCCTCATTTTGAATTGCTCATGGTGGGTGTTCTTTTGCTGAGATTATAGTTTTACACAGTTTTGGGATTACGTAAAGTGGATGGTGGTTTTACGAAATAGCAATATGACCAGGTACTGAGTTTGTCGTAGTTTTATGAAAATGATGCACCCGCTCAAGCCAGGTTTTGACTTGAGTGAAACTGCAGTCTGTACTATTGGTAATTATAAAATGGCTTCTTCTGAAACTATAAACTCTGAAGAAAACATTATCATTCGTACAAAATATTTAGATAACAGATGTCTTGCTGTAGTGTTTTAACAAAAAAAGATTGTATTTACTAATTTTGTTTTTAAAACATATGTTCCATGTGGCCTCAAAAAGCAGTTACTCAGTTCAATTCTGTTCAATGCCATTGTTTTGTGAAACATTTTGAAGTTAATTATTAAATATTTGCCATATTCGGATGACACTTTTCCACTGATATTCAGTGCATGATTATAAATGATCTCAGATCAGTCTCGCCTTTAGATTGGATTTAATCAAATTATTTAGAGCACTACTTAAACTGTTCACAGAGCAAATAATTCAATTACAGACTGAAAATCTGATCTCAGTTGACTGAGCCAACGCTGACAGATTAGTTTGAGAGAAAAAAAAAAATAGTTGAGCTTCAAAATAACAGCTGCATAATAATACATTTAAATGCATTTAAAATAAAATGTAAGCAAAAATTAACTTGACTATGTTGTTAAAATAAAATAAAAAAATAAAATAAAATAAAAAAATAACCAATTGGTGGCATTCCAAAGCATGTTAATACTATATCAAAAAGTCAAATAAATAGTTTAGACAACCTGTTATTATCTGGTGTTCTCATTGATAGTGACCTTTTTAAAATTAGGCTACCTTATATATTTTGTAATGTGAGGGATATTTCACGTTTTAAGTAAATTTAACTAGTTTATCTTTTTCTCCATCTCACTTCAGGTTTATTTAGCCTCTCGGTAGCTCACTATGTGGAAAATTTTTCTAGTTTGTAAAATAACTAAACTTTAAGAACTTGAATAAAAAAAAAAATAATAATAATAATTGGCCTTAACCCACTTGTGAGATGCACTGTGTAATAGGCTACTGTGAGGATTTTTTTTGTTTGTTTGATTATGAGGATTTGATTATTATGATGCATCAAAGCTGGGCCTCATTCGAGTATTTGTAGCTCCCAAACTATGGCCTGCAATCCGTTGAGAAATGTAAATTTCAGTCTTAATAATTTCATCAAATCATCCCTAAAAGAATATTTGAATCAAGTCGAAACTGCTTCTCACTTTACACCTGCGGTTTGAGTAGTTAGTTGTCTGATGGCTGTCAAATAACTTCTACAACAAAAGTTTTCAGTCTCATAACTTTCACTATAACTTCAGCCGCCATCTGATGCATCAGCAGGCTATTGGTTTCCCAATCGACTCGCAGTCTTGGCAACCGATGCTATAGTGACCGTTGCCATGGCCCGTGCGGGACAACATGATTGACATAAGTTCGAATCGAATTATATTATAAGTGTTTCTGTTTTGTGATGTAAGGACACCAGCCGGCATACTTAACATAGCAGAAACGAGAAAGGCGCTAAAAAGGTTCTATTATGACGACACCACTATGGAGGAGCGCGCGCTTGTAATTCGCCTCGGGAACAATGCGGGATTCCAGCAGTTCTGCTGAAAACATTACAAATAGAATCCCAGCTGCCCAAAGATCCGCACAATCGATTGTAATTGAATTGCACCGTCATTATTATGCCCCATCAACTCTATAGACAGTGGCTTCAAGAACACAGCCACGTTTACGGATGTTTATTGCACTCGACCATGTGAACAAGAATAATTATATGGCATTTACAAAGGAACAATTACAGTTCAACACTTAGCAAATTTTTTTTTTCAAGCTGTGGGGAGAAAAACTAAAAAAGAAAGTTAAGTTTAGAAACCACAGCGCGGTCATGCACCTGTTGCTTCTGCTGATGGGAATGAATAAGATAAATGATGTTGAACTTTAGGCGATGTTTAAATAATTACAAATAGAATGGAACAGAAAATAATAAATGAAAGCTAAATGAAACGCTTGTGGTTTTAAACGTTTAATTTGTATAATTATTTTGTTTCATCTCAGAAGAAAAAAGAGAGGACTTAACAAATACCGTGAAGACAGCCATATATGCCTACAATAAAAAAGGCGTAATGTGTATATATATATATATATATATATATATATATACATGTATATTTTTTACTTTTGCAGAGAGCTGGATTGAAAGATGTCTGAACGAAAGCGAGAGCAAGCGGTTCTCCAGCCCCTCTTCTATTGGAAATATGTCCAACGACGAAAGTAAGTCTAGCGAATATTCATGAAAAAATTAAATGAAACTATAAACTGCATGAAGCATGAACAATTATTTCAGAGGGAACCTAATGTGAGTGTTATAACAGAACATGTCTTCGAAAAAGAAAAAAAAAGACACCTTTGTAA